TCTGCAAACAGGCTGCAAATGTACGTTTGACTGTCACCAATTCTGGATATTGATTGCTGCGTAACAAACCATCCTAACACTCGATGGCTTCAAATAACAATTTACCCTGCTGACAAATCTGCAGTTTAGGCAGCATGAGTAGGGAAGCTTGTCTGGCCCTCCTCTTCAGATGGTGTCCACTGGGGTGGAGGGGTCTGTTATCAGAAGGCTCACTAGGAGGCCTAACAAGCTGGCTCTGCTGTCAGCTGGCTGGAGCTGAGGTCAGGGCCTCGACTTCTCCCATCCTAGCCTCCCAGGCAGCCTGCATCTCCACAGGGTACACTGTTTGTGTTCCAAGGGTGAAATTCCCGAGAGACAAAGTGGCGTCCTTGTTCATGACCCTGCTGTGGGAGTCACACAGCATCACTTCTGCCACATCTGCCTTTGAATCATCACAAAATCCAGCCAGGATCAAGGGAAGACTGCATCTTGATCAGGACTGGCAAGTGATCGAGATGCAGTGGGACTGGATCTCCCAGCGAGTGGGACTGGCAAGACTGATTCAGCCACTTGGGGAAAATACAATTTGCTGCAGTACCCTTTACCAGCTTGCCGTGTGTGCGTGCGTGTGTGCATGTGTGTGTGTGTGTGCTTAAATCCCATATTTATATGAACACTAGGTAATAAGTTCTCCATAAAGGGAACGAGCTTTTCTTATGTGACTGCACAGTCCACAATTTGCAGCACAGTATTTTACAAAGAGCTAATGCCTAACTTTCACAGCTGATTTTTGAAAGTTGCAAAGATATCCATCTGACTTGGATCAACAGTTTTTAAAGCACTAGAGCCCCTCATCTTGAAATCACACTGTATATAACTTTATCATTCTTTGATTATCCAGGAATCACTTTAGAGTCCTAGAGTTCATCCCAATCCATAGCATGAATTCTACAGGAGAAAATGTGAACCTCTGGCCATCCACACTGTCCAGGATGTCAGTGAGCGAGCTGGTGGTGGTCCCTGCAGATGACTCATGGGGACTCCAGGGCACAGACTATGCATTCGTGTGACAAGCCCCAGACCACTTCTTGTTTTGGGTACTTGTCTGTGGGGATGGACACCTAACACACGAAAGGCAGCCTGGCCATGAAAGAAGTCTGAAGCTGGGTGCGGGCCCTGCCCTGGCTGGGAAGCGGCACAGTTTCCCCGCGTGGTGCTCCCTGCACATCTTACACTGCAGCACTTGTCTAAATGGAGGCCTCTTTGCACAATACGATGGCTGTGTGTTGAAATTTTAAAAAACCGTCATAGTAAAAGATACAGCGCCATTAATCCCTGTCAATATCCCTATCCCCCACATCTTTAAGCACAACTATCCCATCATTCTTGCCAATATCTGAAGCAGTTCTGGAAGTCTTCTTTTGTGTCTTTATGAGGTGTGATAAGTACACACGCACACACACACACATATATATGGTGAATGCTGCTGCCGCCGCCACCCGATGGAAAGGCCCAACTGCGAAAGCATTGGTGTGACCTCGCCCACCTTACGCGCTGGACCTGGCATCGTGTGACTTCTGGCTCTTTTTCAACTTTTTCAAAGTCAAAGTAACCATGAAAGGTAAACATTTTGAGTTGGTTCAGGACATCAAGGCAGCCACGGCAGTGCAGCTAAAGACACTCGCAAAAAGCAGACTTCCAGAACTGCTTGGAAAGTGGCAATGACGGGATAAGTTCGTTCGAAGCGAAAGGTCTGATTCTGAAAGGGACTAAGGGCAATGTGTCTTTTGCTAGAAAAATTCTTTTTAATTTATACATTCACCACAGTTTTCAACTACATGTCATATATCAATTTAGACAAGTGTAACTTTTTTCCTATTTTGCCATATATAAATGTACTTTCTTGAGAAATCGCTTGTTCATTCTGCAATAATTTGAGCAGTTCTTACTTTGACTGGGAATCAGCCCTCCCTGGCAGCACATCCGTTCCAGGTCACCTCACAGACTGCCAAGCGGCTCTCTGCTCGGCTGGTTGTGGATCGGGTGCCTGGTCCTGCCCAGTGTGCTATGACCAAGGGTATGGACACCTGTGGGTGTGGGGTGGCCAGTGGGTTTCCCTCACAGAAGGCGTGGACAGGCCTGCCCCTTTGGAGACGGGGATGGGACTGGGACAGGGCAGTCTGTGAAGAAGATCTACTTTTTACCTTCTGGGGAAACATCCCTTAAACTCAGGGTGAATAGAGCTCACTGTGCCTCTCATTTCCTTTGTGAGAAAAGCCATCGCCAGGCACAGCTGCACGTCCACAAGAAACCACACAGACACTACTTCCCCCAAGTCTGATTTGAACAAAAATATCCTACTTGATTTCCTGCCTCTGTGTTACAGTTAAGATTGCCTTTTACTTCCTGAATGTCAGAGTCACACTTGACAAAAGCATATCAGAACCATTAGTCATCAGCGTGTTTGCCCTGAAAATGATTTATTTTATTCATTTCCCCATCCTACGCTTTATTGTCTGCAGTGCTTCTTTTAATTGTAAAAATCACTTTGTTCTACCATTATTATGTGCTTTTCCTCTTATTTCTGCTTCATGAGCAATTCATTCTAAATTTTTAATTGGAGGTTAACTCAGGGGAAATTTCTGTTTTGCTTAGAAGAGCTGAACATGGCTCTAGCAGATGCTTATTAATTGCCTATTGGGTGAAGGAGTTCTACAAGTTTGTTTTTAGGACTGGCCTCTCCGACTGGTTCTCAGGCTGATTTGAATTATCTTGGCATGGAGCAACAGCACGCATTTTAAAGATGCTTTCTGTCTCCCCGGGGAACGGGGCGGGACGCAAATGGGCTGCAGACAACCACATCTGGAGCCACATCCGGCCTGCCAGCTCACTCCTCCTAGCAAGATCTGCACCGGGAGGGCAGGCGGGGACTGTCATCGCTGGGAGAGGCCCTGCTCCCATTCCAGGGCCACTTCCCAGGGCGTGGGGATCCCAGGGCTGCCTCAGGGATTCTGAGTCGACCCACTTATTTCCTGCAGGCTTGACTCACTCCAGGCCTTTCAAGCGAGCACTGAGTCAGGAGGGGCCGTTCAGGATTTGCTCCTTGCCCACTTGGCATATTTCGTACGCATTCCACAAATGAGAAAACGGCACAAGAAGGTTTACATGCGTTAGCAAGGCCTCCCGAGAGAGCGCACACGTGCAACCCTGTCCGTCTGAGCCCAGAGGTCACTCTCCTAGCTATCCCCCGGAAAGCCAGAGGGGCTGGAAGGCTATACCGGCAGGGAATGGGGAGAGAAATTCATTTTTCTTTTCTTTTTTTCAAAAGTTTTTTTTCTTCAGTCAGACTGTATTGGTACATTTTAGACATATATAATGCTCACATTCATCATAGAGAATTTGTATCTGTACATGATATATAACTTGATTCTTTTTTTTCCCCATTCCCCTCCCCTCCCCATTTACAAAAGCCTTGTTTCCATTTTTCCCTTCTTTCCTCACTTCTTATACCTTTCCCCTTCCCCGCCCTTGTTCCCCTTCCCTTTGCATATTTTCTTCCTATGAGAAGCGCATTTTTCACTTCATTCAATTCCGTGTTTTTAAGCACTCAGCAGTGTACCCCCAGGGTCCGCTGGGCAGTGCATTTGTTTATGGGCTGGCTGTTCCGGGCATCGCAAGGCAGATGTTGAATGTTTTAAAATATTCTGTACACAGAACAATTATTGAATAAATTTGATAAAATTGTCATTTTATAATTGCAGTTATTAAAATTAATGAAAACTATACAATCTTTGGTCATCCTGTATTTAAATAGTTGGACTGCTAAGTGGTTAAAAAGCTGATTTATAAGTTCCAGTTAGGGGCTGGGGATATAGCACAGCGGCATAAGCACTGGCCTAGGAAGCACAAGGTCTTGAGTTTGCTTCCCGGTGCCAAAAAAAAAAAAAAGTTCAAATTATACAGCTACAACAGAAGACCATTCTATACTTAAAAATTATCTGACATAGTTACTAGGAGCAATTAAAATCTTTTTAAATGTCTTTGAAATGTTGGGTACAAACTGTCCACGGCCTAAAAATGTCTTCACCGTGCTGAATTATAATTCTTTATCCAGAGCTGATGCTGTGAGAGCTGCTCCGTGTGTCTGTGGCCACTCTCAGGACGCCCGCTGAGCGAGTGCTGGGCCAAAGCGGCTCGCCTCCGCGGAGGCTCCTGCAGCTTGTCCTTATGGGACTCCATGCCTTGCCACCAAGAGGAGACCCTCTGCGGGCCGCAAACTGTGTTTCTCCGGCGTCACCGCATCCTGTGCAGTTCAGCAACGTGGCCAAGGCAAACACAGCTTCTTAAGGCCCCTGGAATCCTGGACAAGGCTCACGGTATAAAAAGAATTCTATTACTCACTCCTTCCTAGCTGCCCCTGTCCAGCATTTTCCAGCCCCGCCCCAGAGCTCTGCGCCCGCTCCCCAGTTATTTCAAGTCCTGCCTACACGTTCCGTTTACTGACAGAAAGGCATGCACAAGACCAACTTTTTCTATTTTTAAAAACTGTTGCCAGGCCTATGCTTCTGATGGTGCTGGTGGCTCTGGCACTGGTGTCTCACCTGGTCAGAGGTCCAGCTGAGCAGAATGGGTGAAGTCCCCCTAGCAGCCCTTTCTTACACAGCTTTGCTTTAAGAGCTCATTTCTCACCTCAGAAAATGTCTGAGGCTTGTAAAATATTTACATGTCCTGGGTGTCACTTGATCAACAGCAAACAAACCAAACCGCTGCGTGTGGATGTGTAAAAACACCAACTGACATTTATTTTTGTTTCAGCTCTGAAAACCCACTATGTACTCACAGATTTACTAGAGGAAGACATGGCTTAGAAGACCAATGTGAATAGAAAACACCAGAAAATGTCTCAATCATTCACTTTCGGAAGGAAGAGGTGGGCGGGCAGGGTGGTGCCCGCCTGCAATCTCAGCACTCAGAAGGCTGAGACGAGGATCGCGTTGAGTTCGAGGCCAGCCTGGGCTCCATAGTGAGTTCAAGGCCAGGCTCATGAGACCCCACCTCAAAATATTTTTTAAAATTAAAAAAAAGAAGGAAGAGGGATCTGCCTCTCCCACTTCTTCCCACAGTTCCCAGGATGGGATCTGCCGCCACAAAAGCGGGCTTCCACACTCTGGCAGAAGCGTTCCAGGGCTTGCAATCTGTGGCCTGTGGAGGGAAGGACTGTTCACCCAAAGACCACACACTTTTCCTAGTTCCTCTCATACAACCTCCCGTAGAGAGCTGCTGTTACCAGGCCAGACGACAGTCCACTCTTCCTCAGGAAATAGTGGTCATTTTCCCAGCCAAGCTGGTCAGGGATTTCCAGGGTCATTCCTGAAGTCAGAAACAATGGAAAGATATAGGAAGTGCTAAAGTTGCCCCACAGGTGAAACTCAAATATCCCTGAGGCCTCTGTGATCTCCTGCCCGCAGGTGTGGAAGCCAAGACCCCCACACTTGACCAGGGCACAAACCTGAATGTAGTAAGTGCCATGCACGGTGTGAAGGCCATCGAAGACCCCCAGGGCATACAGCTCTTTGGACAGAGTGGGCCTTTTGTAGAGTAAATGACAGCAGAGGCTGTTGGAGCACACTTGGAGATAGCCTTCCTTTTCCCAGGCAGGGACCAGCGTGAAATTGTCATACATCATCTCAGAATAGAACACAGGAGGCGTGTTCAAGTTCCAGTCAGCGTTTTCATCGCAATGGACTTCCTGGGCGTCTTTCTCACAATGTGGACTGCCGGACAAAATTTTTAAAAACTTACTATGGGATGGATCCATTTGACCTACTGCATTCTCTGTACCGACAAGACCCTGGGGATTTTTGGCTACCTGGGCAATTATAAGGTGCCCTCCGGGATTTTCCATGTCATGGTACCAAAAGGACTTCAGAGGGCTGTGGACGCCGCTTCCCGTCATCCCCAGTGATGGGTGGTGGATGTTGGCTGCCAGCACGTTGACGCCAAAGGCAACGGCAAAAGCCTTCTGAATCTCAATAGCGGCCAAGAGCGGGAGCTGATTCATCCAGGCCGTCGGGTACACGACGTGCTTCACGTCTGAGTCTCTGAGGAGTCTGACAACAGGATCAAAGAACAGTATGTCAAAGCAAGTGAATACGCCAAACGTGCCAGCAAAGGGGGTATCGAAGGTGACATGGTCCACTTTAGGAGGAGTATCAAAAGCCGCCTCAAAGTAGAGGTTGTGTTTACGGTAGCGGTCAACCAGGGTTCCGTTGCTGCTGAACACAACATTCGTGTTAAATTGGTACCTCCCGTCACGTGGGCACCCCGGGTCGCTGCTAAAACAAGGCTGTTTTGTGCCAAGATTGGCCACCAAGAACATCTCTCCCTTGCGGGCCATACAACTCAGGCGCTGGAGGACCTACAAAAACAAAGGAATAAATACATGGATTTAAAAAATGCTGCCTTTCATCTCATTTCTTAATAGAAAGTTCCTGTATTGAGTCCATAATATCTATCAATGGCTGTCCTAAACCATAGGAAAAAAACACTACAAAAAACATGCAAAGGGTATATACAGGGGATTCATGGAAGAACAAATACAGCGGCCAAGAGATATCTGAAAAGATGTTCGATCTCAACAGTAACAAAGAAATGCAAATTAAAATAATCACCAGGTATCACTTTTCACCTTTGTTAGAGAAGCAAAACTTCAAAAGGTTATTCTATCCAGCATGGACAAGACAGTAGGAAAGCAGGCACTCCAAGACTATTATTGGGGATATAAAGTGACATAAGAATTTTTAAGGGAGAAGTGTGGTATTCTTTAAAATAAATTAAAATGTGCATAGCCTTTAACAAATTCCTTTTTAAGGAATTATCCCTCACACAAAAATCTTGGATGTTTACAGAAATATATGTGTAAGTACAATGTCCATGTATGTGTATGTATAATGTACAAGAATATCCACTGAAACATCGCTCATAATAATAAGAGCTAAAAAGAGAGCACACACAGCATACTAAGCTAGGGTGTAGAAGGAAATGCACAGAGGTTGCAGATGGATGCACAGCAGATTGCTGATGGAAGCTGGAAGTTTCTCTAGGAAAGCAAGTGGGATAAGGGATGAGTTGTGAAGGTAAAGTTACTTTTAAAAAATGTGTCTGACTTGTTTAATAAGTTTATATTCATGTCTTTTTTGTGTAATTAACAAAATGGAAAGATCCACAGATGAGTGAGGGCTTGAAATACCGTACTAGACACTAAGTGAATGGATTTACAGCACGCTGAGTGGGATCTTTCAGATCCTAGGGTCTCCTTTCAATCTCAGCAGGTTGTAGCTTCTGGTTGCTGGCCTTGTCCATCTCTGCGTGCCCTGTGACTACTGAGGGGGAAGGCTGAACCGTCACATACCTCTGTGTCACTGAAACGGTGGGGCTCCAGGCATGGGTTCCACCTGATGAACTGTGGCATAAAGTCCAAAAATGGGTAGATAGATGTTCTTGTAAAGTTGAACCCATGAATGCCATCTTCTGGAAACACTATAATCTGTACACCCTGTAAGTCAAGATATCAAAGTACAGTCTGTTAGCAGATCCTGGGAAACACCGTTTCACTCATTAATGCATTGGACAACCATCAAGAAGTTACTCTGTACCAGGAGCCAGGGACACAAAGATGGTGGCTCAGCTCTCATCAGGGATCTCAGCCCTGGGGAAGCTGTCTTGCTTCTTCTAGGAAGCACCATTACTTGTACCTGACAGCATGTCAGGGAAGGAGGGAATGAGCAAGCACTTAAGGTTGCAGGAGCTTACCAAGCAAGAGGGGTTTTGAGTTGCTGGTGCGATGAAAGATGGAGCTGATTATAAAGGACCTTGACCGTCTCAAGTCCATTAGGTCCCAGGCATTCTGCATCTAAATAAGTTGTGGAACTTCTGAAACTGCACTGACACTGGGCCCACCCCTAGAGTCTGATTCAGTTGACTGTAGGTGGGGTCTGGGCAACAGCATTTAACAGTCCCCTAGGTGATTCTGAGGTGCAGCCAGGACTGGAAGCCATGGGGCCAGCAGGTAAGAGCCAAGTGTGTTCATCTCAGCACAGAACTGAGGACTCACTTAAAATCTCAACTCCCCGCCTGGGAACTAGGAGGCTCCCTTTAGGGCCCTGGCCATGCTATAGTCTTTTTCCCCACGCGGGAACACCCTGGGCTCCCTGGGACAGCTGCAGCAGCCTAAGGAAATAGAAACAAACAACTCGCAGTGCGAGGGCCTCATTCTTTTGTTGCTCTCCATTTATGTGGATTAAAATGTCAAGCTCCAGTGCAGAAAGAGAAGAAGGCAGGCCGAGAAGGCGTGAATAATCTAAAAGAGCGTGCAGTTGGAGGCATTTACTTCTGGAGTGCACTACAAATTCTTTTCAGTTTTTGTTTTTTTTTGTTTTTTTCTGGTTACAAAAGCTTTAACTTTTGTAGAAAATTTGGAAAACAGAAAAATAAAGAATTCAAAATCCTACAATACAAAGATAACTATTACTATCTTACTAATTTTCTTTCTGTATATATGTACATATAATTGGGATGATAAATACATGGTTTTGCACCTTGAATTTTTTCTTGAAGAACTTTCAAAAATAACATTTGTAGTCGCCACATCATTATTTAAGAGGATCCCACAGTTTCTTCCCTATTATTGGACATTTGAGTTATTTCCAACTTTTTGTACTAAAAAGATTATGGTGACCATCTGCATAAGCTGTGCTCAAAACATTTACTGAATGAATGTTGTACACAAGTCTTTGAATCCCTGATTATTTCTTCAGAATAGTCTTACAAGTGAAATTACTGGGTTAAGCAATATGCAAATTTTTAATTTCTTAACACACATTGTCAAATAGCTTTCCAGAAAGGTTATACCATGTAGGAGCCCTCCAGCATAGAATGACACTGGCCATCCCACTGCACCCTTAGCAATGACCGCATAAAGAAAAAGTATCACAAATTCAGAAGCAAGAGGAGATGAAGAATGCATGCCTTCCCAAATTATACTGGGACACTGATACTCCAAAGAATTTTTAATTACAATGTACTACTGTTTGTTACGTACAAGATCACCACAAAGACTACAACTGTGCAGCCCTGGAGGATATTCACCAGTTCTGTATCTATTAGAAAATTTACTTCACCATTCACTGGCCTGACAGACACATTTCCACTTCTCCAGTCCTCCTCTGAACCAGCTTTACCATCTTACCGGTCCCCTCAGTAGCTAACGAGTTAAAGAAAAACTGTTTATTCTATAATCACACAAGAGTCAGGCATTTAATTTTTGAAAATTACACTTGGATATTTTCCTTTCTTAAAAACAACATGTGAGAACACCGAATGGTTTTCCACAGAGAACAGCACTTAAATTATGTGTACATGTTAGGTTAGCGGGAAAATTAAGTTGTGTTCCCTGAGCACACATCAGCCAGGAGTAAGGCCAGGAACCAAGCCTGCGTCAGGGCAGAACTGTGGGTCTGGTGTGATCAGCATAACTGCACTCCTAATAGCTTCAGCAGTTTCCTGATGGACTTTATGAGATCAAGAACTCCTTCCGAGCAAGGAAGGTCACCAACCTACGTCACTGACAAGCCTAATCATCCTGAAACTGCCCACACAATGTCCCTACCAAAAGAAATATTTCAACTCATTTGTTCAAGAACCTCTGTCTTTACAGCAAGTCTTGATACACAATTTTGATGAATGTTTGCTATAAATTTATTTTAGAACTTGCTTTAACACATATACCTACATAGGGGAGCTGACATATGACAGTACTAAAAACTACCTTATCAACAAACAACTGCATCCCAGCTCCCGTCCACTAATAGAGAAGGAAGCATGCCTTGTGGCTGGCATGGGCCCCACAAAACCATGCTCTATATTTGCATCAGGGGCAGGTCATTAAAACTTTAAAATGGGAATTCAATGTTCACAGTCCCTATGTTTCAACGTGGTGTTTGCTGAATGTCTCAGGATGGTCTTGTGACGGGCTGGAGAAGCATGAGGTCAGTGAAAGTGCAGGTGCTGGATTCAGCACCAGGCCAGCAAACACCTCCGTCCCCAGAATACCTGCCCTTGATAGGATCAGTGTCAGCAGGAGGGTGAGGGGCACAGCTGGGATTTTTTTTACACTGACTTCAGCAGAGGCTTAAATGAGGTGTGTATCAAAATGTGTGAATGACGTGAAGGTAACCGATATGCAGGATGTCAGTAAAGATCCCCTAAATAGCCCAACGGGCTGGAATGATGACATTTAACAGCAGAAACGCGCAGTATTGCTCTCGGGTTAAATCAATCAACCTCTTAAGTACAGCAGTGCAATGGCAGTGAGTGTGTCCGGGTGAAAAGGGCACAGGAGTTTTAGGTGACAGCATGTGCAAGGTGAGTCCGCAGTGAGAGGTCTCCGCTCCGGATATGAGAGGGAGTCTCCCACGGCCAGCCTTCGTCAGACAGTACTGGGAGAGCTGCACACAGAGAGCCTTGGAAGTCTGGGCAGAAGGGCTGAAAACCACATCTCCTACGGAGCTGCAAAGGGATGGCATGACCGCCTGGGAGAGATGCTGCGGGCCGTGCAGCTGGCCTTGTGTGCGGAGGATGGGATGCCGGGCTGTGGGATGGGGCTGTTCCCTTTAGCTCAAGGACAGAACGATGGGTGGCAGTTACAGGGAAACCGACTGCTGCTCACGGAAAAGAAGGATTTTCCAGAAGTTCCCACTGCTGGACGAGTGGACCTATGAAATAGCGAGTTCTGGACCACTCTGCGTGTTCAAGAAGCCGGATGTCAGGCTGGGGCAAAAAAGAGGCGGGGCATCCATGAGAAGCTCTCTTCCAGCACCACTCACACACACACACATACACACACACAGTGTGTGTATTCTAGGCCAGTATTTGAAAATGCAGCACTAGGTGTTGGCTCTGGCTTCTCTGTCTTTCTATGCCATCCTGACCACCCTGCTCCGAGACAGGCCATCAGCACAGGACCGATTGTCATGACCAGATGTGCCCTTTAAACTCATCAACAGTAAGGATGTTTATTTTGGGGTTTCTTTTTTTTTTTTTTTTTTTTGAGACAGGGTCTCGCTAGGTAATTCGGGCTGGCCTTGAACTCAGAGATCCTCCTGCTTCAGCCTCCCAAGTGCTGGGACTATAAGCATAAGCCACCACGCCTTACTCTAGGGAACTGTGCATACACCCCCTTTACTTCCTGTGGAGGCAGAGGAGGGCTTCCTCAGGCAAATGGATTTGGTTACCCTACCACCTGGATTAAAGCCCAAACTTCCCTTTAATTCTGGATTTCCCAGCAGTGCATCTGCACATTTCTGACAAGGGCATTTCCCCCTCGGCCCCGTGGGGCATGTCTCTTCCACCCCTACACTTTCTGCCAGGAGAGAAAATGTGGCCAAGCAGGAAGCTCTTTCAAAAGCTGGCACCAACCTGCCCTTTGTTGGTTTAGGCCCTTCTGTCTGGGCTAAGACCTCAGATGATCATAATCTGGCACAGAGAAAAAACGAGCCCTGAATGACTGGCTGGCAGCAAATAGCAGCTTTGGGGACACTTAGCATTTCAGTTGAACTATGAATGCCTCACAGAACATGGGAGTTCATTAAAACTCCTGTACTTTAGAATCCCCTGGAGAACCTTAACAAAAATCCCAATGTTCACATGACTCCCCATCCGGGCCAATTACATCAGACTCCTGGGGACCCACCTAGCCACTTGTTTACAATCCACCCAGTGATGCCTGCACACAGCCAAGTGGAGGCCTAGTGACCTTGCCCACAGCTTCCCTCACTTGCAGGGCAAAAGCATCACCTGGGCTCTTGCTGAGATGCAGACGGTGCCTCAGCGTTCCTAACAAACGCTTAAGCACTGCGGCTGCTGGTCCGTGTCTGGGTATCCAGACTTCGGCTAATTAAGTCAACTCAGGTTTGCTATCTAGACTGATTTTCCAGAGGGGCTGCAGGCCAGGGGCTACGACTGCTCGAGGGTCAAAGAGCAAGCTGCTCTGTTCTGCGAGAGGAGCATTTCTTGCCTTCTGGGCTGCAGCCATCACTTGCTGTTCGTAGATGTCCAGGTTCTGGTTCATTAGCTCCAAGGCCTGCTTGCGGCTGGTGAGAGCAAGAGGGTTCGGACTCAAGACCGCCTGGTGCTCGTACACAGCAGCTACGTAATAGTCGGCTCTGTGAGGGTCAGCCGCGCAGTGCTCCTCGGCGCAGACTCCCAGGGCAAGCGAGTAACAGCCGAAGAGGAAAACAGCGAGCTTACTGCTGGCTCCAGACATAATGCAGACCATAAATCTGGAATGTAATGGGGCAAGGGAAAAACAGCTGAATAAAGAATCCTGCCAAGAATTTAACTTTTGCAGCTGTGATTTATTAATCTCAGCAATTAAACTCACCCGCAATGATACTGCAGCTCAAAGAGTTTGTTTCATGTCCCTAATAAAGGAGTATGTGTTTCTCTCCAAACACGTAGCAAGCGACATTTAAAATGGCTCTCTGTGTTAAGAGTCTGGTTTTAGAACATTTCCAAAACAGACTCGATGTTTGCCACGATTTTCTTACTCAGTATTCAGCAAGGCTAATGTGCCACTATTTGCTTTTCTGGCTATGAATTTCAGTTTTAGGCAATGGTAATAATTTGGATTATCTGACACAATTCTTTTATGTATTTCACATGCCGCCTGCCCTCTTTACACACCAACACACTACAGGTCAACCCCTTTTTTTTGTTTTTGTTTTTTTCCAGTACCGGGAATTGAACTCACGACCTCACGCTTGCCAGGCAAACGCTGTGCCGCTGAGCTAAATCCCCAGCCCCCAGCTCAACCCCTTAAACCAGGTGTGACTGACAGGACGATCCTAATACAGCTCAGCTTTCTCAGTCATAAAAACCAGAAGAATTAAAATCCTCTGTATTTTTTTGGTTAGTAACGAATACAAACGATAACTCTCCTTTTAATCAGCACAACATTCTTTATTTGGGGCCAAGAAACTGCTGACTTCTACTTAAATGCCAACATCCACTCTTTCACAGACAGGCATAAAGAAGTCTCCTGATCAAAGCTTGGCATGGTTTTCTTCCTTGAACTTGAGAATTCCCACTCCATGCCACTGCTTTCTCAGTAAATCTTGTGCTTACAAGTATGTTAGTTTGGAAATAAATTTTTTTTTGCACTGACAGGCTGGAATTTTCTAGAAAATCAATGAATTTTGTAGAAAGTGAACTCCACTTTGCAGTTCTTACCATTGAAACGGTAGAGAATGACTCTTCTGTATGCTCCCCCACACTCCCCAAGAATAGGAATGTTTATTTCCAAGTGTTTTAGAGCGGGTAGACCAGTTCTGTGCTGAAAATCAGCCTGGCCTCCCAGCCGAAGCCCCTCCCCTGGCATGCAGGGGGCCCCAGCGCTGTGGCCAGATCTGCCTGCCCTGTGCAGATGTGCTGGTGCTGACCAGCTGGCCAGGAATCTTGATTCCAGGTTAGGATAACAAGGTCAAGGAATCATACTGTTGCCCTTTAAAAGGAAAATGACACCTGTCTAAATGAGCTCCTAACGTCTGTGCTTGCATTTTGAAACAAATTCCCCAGATGACACATTTTTTCTTTTCCTTCTTTATTTTTTGTCCCAGAAACAAACCACAATCATTGTCAGCAAGAAGAAAGGACTAGGGACGCCCGTTCAGAAGGCTTGCAAAATCAGATCTCAGAACAAGAAGCTTTCTCCCTCCCACCCCTGCCCCATCTCAAACTGTTACTTCTTTCCCCAGGGTAGAAAGTGCCATCCCCAGGATTTGCTGCCATTCATCTGGGGCACTGTAAATAGTGTTTTATGATAAGAACAAGGGAGCCTTTGAGTGAGCAGTCATGAGTTTTTGAGCAGAAACAAAAGCATAATTGATAAACTTTCTTATCTGAATTTTGTCTGCAAAGACAAAGACTAATTTAAAATGTCTCAAAAATCTGTTCTCCACTCCACCTCTGGTTTCATAATGATGGCAGTAGGAACTAGCCCTGGGAGAGAACTTTCACCTTCCAGGTGACAGCAACAATCTTTCTCTACTGTAAGGCAACCGCCTAAGAAGTGTTGAAACAGGGCCTGGAGTATGACCAGTACTAAGTGGTAGCGGGTCACAAGTTGCCGGGATTGGCGGTCTGCCCCTTTCTCACCCAGGAGCGCAGTCCCACCAATCTGGGGACACAGAACTCTTTTTTTCTTTTGTGATCCCGGGGATCAAACCCAGGGCCTTGTGCTTGCTGGGCAAGTGCTCTACCATTGAGCCTATCCTCCCACCTCAAACACTTGGACCTCACATATTCAAGTCTAAGAAACATATAATCCAGCACACCAAGAAAACCACTGAACCAGCAAGATATCACATCTTTCTATTTTGAGAAAATAAAGTTTACTGATCGCAGAGTCTGTAGGAGAGCTGTAAGTGGCAATCGTTTGTGCGTGAACAAAGGTAGGTTAATAATAAGAGGGTATGCAGATCTAGGCAGGTGTTCGTGCTTGAAGATCACACGCTTAATGAGGTAGGAGCGAGTGAGTAATTACAGTAAAAATAGGAACAACAGCTTCCCTTCTCAGCAGTGGCGAACGAGCAGACATTGTCACCAAAGCTCCAAACGCCGCTTTTCGCCCTTTGTTTGGCACCACAAACACTGTCTCGGAGAAACCAGAGCTGAGCCAGGACTGTGAAGGGCGCCGTAGGCAGCAGCTGGGGTGCGGGTTTTGAAGCGCCGCACTGGAGGGGCCAGGGTACTCCCTAGATCACTGGTGGCGAGCCTACTGCACGCTCACCGCAGCAGCTGTTTATCTCTGAAATCTCTGTCGCTATCACTGCCCTAGATGCTTGCCAGCATTGGGGGTTGGGGCTGGCTGGTGACAGTACACACGGGGGACTGGGGCCTGGGGTTGCTGGAAACAAGGGACCAAGCAAGTAGGGATGGGAAAAAGGAGACAAGGGTGAGAGTGGTGGTAAATGGAATCATAGAGACAAATCCTGTGATAGGGCCCGCCCACCGGCCTCCTACCACTTCCCCTGCATCACCCTTACATGCCTCAATCCTGGTCTCATCAGAGCAGCCAGTGAGATCCAGAGAAGGCCTCAGCCAATCACAGCGCCCCTCTCAAAGCTTTTACTGACTCTCCATTTCACACAGAGTAAAAGCCACAGTCCTTGCAATATGGCAGGAAGAACCCAATGGGCAGGAAGTAATTGACAGGGCATGGGGGGACACTGGAAGTGGCATCTTCAAACAAGCAACTGATCTCCGAGGGTAAGGATCACCAAACCCAACACCAGTCCTCATCAGGAACCTTCTTTTGATCTTGGAGGAGAAGAAACCAAAGTTGGAATCACACAGAAATCTACTGCATGGAAATTTGGTAACATGCCAATCACCTGATATTTTTATACACGAGACTTTTTTCTTACTTTGCTAAATGAGTCATCTTGATAATCAGCTGTCTGTCTTTCTTAACCATGCTATTACAATGGTGACTTCTGCAATAAAATGAAAGGATTATTATTAAATCATTCTTAATAAGATAATTTCAGAGGCAGGTATATACTTTAAAAAATTTATATAGAGAGCTATTATTGATCTTTGTAATAAAAAAAAAAAATCTTGTCATTCTTTTCTTGCCAGGAAAAAAACAGCCAAATGATCAGGAAGGGAAGCAAGAAAGATGGCAGAGGAAATTCACATTTTGTGGAACAAACCCTAAGATATCTGCTAAGACACCAGGAAATCTGCAGTGTTTTTTTGTACACCTGGCAGAATGCCAAGAAAAATGATATCAAGTTCCAGATACTTTAAAATGATTCTCGAACATTTTGTGATTTTCTTCTCTGAATTCTTTTTATAGGGTGCAGAAATAACGTCCACCTCCCAAATTTACATAATCTGAATGTAAAGAAAAGACCTTTTATTCCCTGCAAAGCCTTGTCACATTCCAGTGTGCCAGTCACGAGCCTGTCAGTGACTCGCCTCTGGAACAAGGAGCCCCACAGCAGTTGTAGCTCGGATAGCTTTGTTTAAACCCACCCACGGACAAGACTTTTGACATCTCGATTGGAAAAGTCAAGGGTAAACACTTGTGACTGGGAACTGACGGTGACGTCAATACTTGGGGTTGAACCCACAAGGAACAGCAAATAATGTACCAAGTCCTCTGAGTTAAATTGGTAAGTTGTGACTTCACATTCAAAATTATAGGCATTATCTCCAAAACAGAGAATGATATATGAAAGTAATTTGGCATTATTATGCCTTTGATTAAGGCCAATTTCTGCTCCATTGACTAGAATAATTTTTCAACTAAGCAACCAAAAGATCTTGACATGTTAATTTAAATGTCATCCTTCTTTTCCTTAAATGGGAAATTACTTCCACAATTTAAGTCAAATAAAACTTCCTGGGCTGGGGAGGTAGCTCAGTGGTAGAGCACTTGCCTAGCACGTGTGAGGCTCTGGGTTCCATCCCCAGCACTGCAAACATCTCTTTGAAATACGTGGTACAGTATATGTAAGAAAATATTATGTATTTGCTATTTGGATAAAATCTTAGCATCTTTATAATTCACTCTGTAAGGAGAAACCAAACAAAACAGAACTGGAGGCGAGACTGACTCCGCAGGTTTGCTACTGCCACCCTGTGGGCCAACTGGAGTCCACTGACACAAGTGAGTATTTGATCATAAGAATCACAATAGCAAAATTCTCAAACAGTTAATTTTGCTTCTCCTTTTCATTTCGAATACTTAGTCTCTTTTTACAGTAGAAAAAAGGGAGATCAGAAAGGATTTTATTTTCCATGATTAGGTTTCATGAAAGTTTTTATTCATCATACTGCCATAACAATTGCATCTGCCCTATTTCCAAGTTCTAAATTTATTGTAATTTTGTAGTTTTTATCGTTGTACAGTCCATAGGATGTGCCTGGATGCACAAAGTAATGCCACCCATCCACACCGAGACACACGGCGCTCTGCTTGGGGAGATCCGAATGAGTTATGGAATCTGTAAGGACAAAAGTTTGCGTCAGCGCCACACTGTCTTTTATGTGCAGTGTAAACCATTCTGCCCTTCATTACTTGTTATTATCTTTCTACCTCACAATGCTGTGGACAAAGGTGGCAAAATCCTGTTCTTACGGTAAGAATGGGGCTGGAAACTAGGCCTGCTGGCTTCTGGCACAGCCTTCCAGGCACATGTTGAAGAACTCAGGCAATTTACTGGTCAAACCTTGGAAGACCACTATTGTAGTCCTCAATGCAGCTATAAGAGAAAAAAGGGAAACCTCAAAGGAGCACTTCCAAGGGATATTCTGGTGATAAACCCAGAGCAAAGGTTCTCCAATTCACGTGTGCCATGTAAGTGACCTGAAGGCCTTGAACCTCACGCCCAGGATTTGTGATTGGGCAGCTCTGGGGGCACAGACTGACAATGTGCATTTTTCTAGCAGTTTCCCAGCGATGCTGATGCTCCTGGTCTCGCTCTTGCCTGGGGAACCACTGGACTGAGGACAAAGGTGGGGACATCTTCATGTCTAGGAAAGACAGGAGTAGGCACATCATCCCAGGTGCCTCTCCAATAGGGCTGATAGAATGTACACAGATTTCAAAGTGTTTCTATCATATTTAGTGAAAACAAACATCAGAGAAAGTATTTAGGCACTCAGAAGGAAAAACTTCTTGCAAAAAACTTGATTAGACTCAGATAATGGACTCAGTGTTTGTCTTAGCTGTGGTGGGACTACAACTGATGAACCAGGATGTCACTGTTTTCATTTTTAAAAATAAAATATAAAATAGGGGCAATACGGCATAACACTACAGGTAATCTAAAAAGTCCTCTGACCATATCCTACAAAAACATAACAGATGTCTTTTCAAACATATATACCTAGGTTTTCAGGGAAGGTAAGGGAAATCCTGGGAGAATTAAAAAAATAAAACAAAACACTGCCAAGGGCCAGGTGTGATGGCATCTAGCACTCAGGTGGCTGAGAAAGTAGAATTGAGAATTTGAGGCCAGCTTCAGTTACACAGCAAGTCCCAGGCATTCTGGACTACAGAACCCCTGTCTTTAAAAGAGGAAAAAAGGAACCATGAGGAAGTAAGTGTTAAACTACTGCTCATGGACGCTGCTCAGGCAGTAAAGAAAGTACACAAAGAACAGGTTTCATCGCTGTCAGTCAGCCCTGGGATGGTGTGGTACTTCCATATACTCTGCTCTTCTGAAATGCTCAGGGCTTTCAAAAACCCCTATCAAATTCTCTGAAGTGAACCTCAATGGGTGTCAGCAGGAATTGTTTTTAAAACCCCTTGAGAAATTTCTGCTCCTTTTGCTTGTTGGATGAACTCAAAGTCATCAAGCTATCTTCTAGATAATGAAGACCTGAAGGGTAGCCGTCCAGGAGAAACACAGCCACTGTATACAAAATTCAGTAATCTAGGAGAGTTATATGCCAAACTTTTCAGAAAAGATGTGCTCAGAAAGGCAGGCATTATGGTTTGTGTCTGGATGTTCCCCCAAAGCCTCACGTGATCTTGCAGGGGCGCTTCCTGCAGGCAGCTGAATCTAGTTTGTGATTGGTTCATTGTCCAGTGCTGGGGTTGGGGATATGAGTGCCATACCTGCCCTAGGACAGGTAGCCTGCACATAACGTAAGGCAGGAAAAGAGGCTTGCCCCCCTCTTTTGCTCTTGCTGCTTTTGTTCCACCACCATGAACAGGTGTCCCTCAACCATGCCACCCTGCTTTGAAGTCAGCTGATTATGGCCTGAAACCATAAACCGCGGGCTAAATAAACCTTTCTTCCCTTAATTTTGGGTGTTGGGTATTTTGTCTCAGCAACGAGAGAAAAGTAACCAAGACAGTGGACAAGGCAAAGGTCCACTTATACTATCAGATGTATGGTGGACATCATGTCTTGGTGAACACTGACAGAACATCTCTAAGTGTTAGGTGGATACACCCTCTTTACATCCAGTTCCAACACCTTGTCGACTATGTGCCAGTACTCAGGAGAAAAGACGGAGATGGACACGCCCAGGACGCAGTCCGAGGCAAACAATGCAATGAGTAATAGAGCCAAGGAACCAAAGAGCCATGTTCCCAAATCAAAAGACCAATTCTTCACAGGAGAATCTAAAAGCAATGACGCTGAGTGGCAGTTGCAAATGTGAAAGAAGTAACAACAGAAAGCTAAATTAAGGGCTGGGGATGTAGCTCAGTGGTACAGTTCTTGCTTAGCTTGTGAAAGGCCCTGGGTTCAATCCCCAGTACTGACAAAAAAAAAAGCTGAAGTAAAACACAGCCAAAGCCACTTTATCCCGTGGAGAAGCCAGGAAGCATATGTTTGGGAGAGGCACGGTCAAGATTACAAAGAGAGTAACAGCAAAAAACAGGCAAGTGGGTCCTGGCTGTCTGTTTCCTAGCACCTGCAGAGGATATTCTTGACACAAGCACGGTGGGCAGACACGGTGACACAAGGCATACTCCACGTAGTCCAAGGCTTACAGCTAGAGGGCAGAGCACGATTAAGAATGACCGTGAGCTCGGTGTGGTGGTCACATGGTAATATCAGCTACTCAGAAGGCTGAGGCAGGAGCGTCACAAGTTCAAGGTTAACCTGAGCAAATTAGGGAGATTCTGTCTCAAAAAGAAAAAGGGTTAGGAGAGCAGCTCAGTGCTCGCTGGGTCCCACCTTCAGCACCAGCAGAGAAAACAAACAGAAAACCCACACAAAAATAAAACGGCGACAATGACCTGCCCAGACCTGATCTATTCACAAAATCGGCAGGTTACTCTGCCCACAGCATGGCAGATATGTAGAAAATGGTTAGAATCCCCATCATGGCCTTTCTTCCTGGAGATACTGAACATTTTTATCTTCCTCTGTTTTGGTTAAATCAGTAATTACTTCTGTAATTTTTCCTCTGGCAAAATCTGGATTACCACAGCTGTATTCTGGTTCAAACACAAGTCCTGGCATTTTGTAGCAGGCCTCAGCCTTTCTGTGTCTCAGGACGGAGCCAGCGGGACAGCAGCAGCGAGCACGGAGGAGCCTGCAATATGCCCAACTCCAAGCCAGCCTTCTGTGGGAAAACTCAAAAGAAGCATGACACCCCTGAATTCACATAGCAAATGATATATGTGGGACCCCAAGTCCAAGTGCAGAGCTGCTGCAGGCTCGACCCTCCCTGCGCGAGGTGGTGACTCTCATCACTGCCCACCCTGGCAAGGAAGCCAGGCGTGGCCCACAGGAGGAGAAGCTGGAGAAGCCCCAGCAGCTCCGGGCAAGTTCGAGGCTGCAGGCAGTCAAACACCCAGGCACCGAAGAACACGTAAGCCGCCTGACTTCGAAATCTAGGAAGTCAAGGCAGATCCCCGGGCCAGGCTGCTGCTGAGAGCTTGCAGCCCACCCCTGGTCTGTTTCCATTTTAAGAGATGGTCCGGAAGCTTTCCGTCTTTGAGCGCCCTCTTCCAGCCAGCAGG